TCAGCAGGCATTCCTAGCCCCCCCAGTCAAACTAACAGGATCTCCCCCAAAACGAGCACGTTGGGCAAAGCAGGGAGAAATCGCTCTGCACGCGATACGAGTTGGCAGGATCCCCGCCTGCGCCACGTGCCCTCCGCGGTCCGACACCTCACCGTGTAGTTTGGGTTCCCCGGCTGAATGCGAAGCTCGGCCAAGATCCAGATGCCGTTAGTGAGTTTCAGAGACTGGTAGAGCATGTCCTGGCCCTCCACATTCCTCTTTGCAATGGTGTAGACATTGTTGTTCTGCAGCTTGCTGGAAACAGTGTCTTCAGAGAGAAGGAAGAAAAACACATCTGTTAATTCAGACTCATCATCTGTGGAGACAGGATTGCCCAGAGGAGCGTTCCCAGGATGCAAGCGCACGAGGCAACGCTGACTTCTGTCCCAGAGTTTTCCCTGGGGACAGGAGCAGTTATGACACAAGGAGAAAAAAATTCCAGCTTGCTTCATTGACCCATCTCACTCCTCTCAGGCTGTGACCCCTTGTGAAACACCTGCCCACCTGGCAGGGCTTTCACTTACTGCTCACTGCTCTGGGTCACTCAGGACTTACTGCCTTTATCAAGGCGAGAGCCTGCAGCTCCGAGGGCGAGAGGACTTGCTCTATCTACAACCTGCCACAAGCCCCAGGCAGGCTAACCTGGAGGCAGCCAAAGTCAGAAGATGAAGGTGAAGAACAAAGACCCCTGCCTGAGGCTCGCTCGGTCCTGAGGTCCCCTCCCAACCATGACAGCTCCCTCCTGCCTCCCATCCTCTCATGCACAGACGCTTCCAGCCAAAACAATGTTTTACAAAGTAGTCAAAATCCTTTCTTTTTGCTTTTTTTAAAAAAAAGCAATCACTTGAAAGGGTAAAAACCCACAGACATCTGTCTCTAGACATCACAGGGCTGTGATACAGTTCTAACACACTGCATGACCTCAGCACTTGCAGAAGTGTGATTTCACCTGGAGATCTGTACGGACGTAACCATGACACACGTTATTTCTAAGGGACCCTTCAAAGAAACAAGAACAGAGGCAAACATGCAGAACACACAGACCCAAACCAGCGGCCTCTGGATGCCCAAGGGGTTTCTCAGCACAGCGCAGAGCAGAGCAAACCTGTCTTTGGATGCCAGTAAAAGCGGCACATTCACTCTTTGGGTGGAAGGCTCAGGGGGGAGGGCTCCACACCTCATAAGCATCACTGGCAGATTCCCATTCCTGGTGCTCAACAAGAGAAATTTAACTTGTTCATGCTCTCTACTGGGGCAGGGTAGAACACTTTGTCTATGCTGGGCATGTTGGGCACTTTTGACAGAAACCAAGGGAGAGAAGGGGCCTTAAACCAATTTGGACTGAAAGCCAAGAGACTGGCAACGTGGGATCCATTTCAAGGAGGAGGACAGCAGCTGAGAAGCGGCACAAAGCGGCTGTGCAGCTCTAATTCGTCCCTGCACCTATGAACACCACGATCGGCCAGCATCAATGCTTGATTTGAGAACGGACGTGAACCCGTGCTGGTGCACGCAGGGATTAGAGAGGGGACAGCAGGGTCCGTTCACGCACCAGGGAATGGCAGAAGCAGAAAGGGCCCCACAAATCCGTACGCTGATGCAGAGCCTTGGACCTGCTGCCTCTCCCCAGGGCAGCGCTGACAACCAGAGCTGCGGAGCAGCTCCATGGGCAGCCGGGACCCTTCGCCCACGGCTGGGCTGAACCCCTTTGCTCCCCAGTTTGCTTCTGAGCAGTTGTGTGCAGGTCGAGGAGGGTTCAGGCATCCAGCTACCCAGGCACACAGATTTAGGTTTCCTCTCTTCCCCAGTTACTATGGAAACTGGTAGATATAAGTAACTAATGAGATCCTTTGCTTAAAACCCCTCATTCCCTCTGTCTCCTCCTCCCACCTCTACTCCTCTACACAACGAACTCATCCAGATTGGGGAAACCGGCAACGCAGAGCAGTCCCCTGCTCGCAGGGAGAGCGGCTAGGAGAGACTCACGCTGCAGGGACATCACCCACTAGGGATGAAGCCCAAACTCCCGTCTCCTTGTACCCCCCCAGCCAGCCAGAGCAGCCTCTGGGCTTTGCAGAGGCGCGGCCTTGGACTCAAGTGCTGGCTCAGAGATCGCACCCTTGTTCGCAAGGGACGTTGGTACGAAGTGAGCTTTCATTCGCCCAATTTTAACCGGCTGGAGTTAAACCTCGTTGGTCTGGAGCCCCTCTGGACACGTATCCTGGAAGTGGAACTGCTGACAAGGGCTCCAGGCTTTCTCCAGCAATCTTCCTACCTGCCGGCAGCAGTCTCCTCCTCCGCCGGGGGATGCTGCCAGAGCAAAGGCATTCCCCGGGGAGCGTGG